CAATGCTTCCCTCGCTTTAAGGAATGCAACAATCATGCATCTAAAGGTAACTTGGATACTATTTTAAGTTTAGTTGTGATTACTATTTAATTAACTAAATTTTTTGTGTTTGTAGAATAATTTTGATTTGGATAAGGTTAACTTGGATCCCGAGCATTCACATTTGTTGCAGAGCATTGATGCGACTCTTGCAAAAATTTATAGAGGCCGGAAAAGTAAAGGCCATACTTATTTTAACGATATTGGGGGGCATGCGGATATCCCAATGGCATTAGACAAACCCCCCCCCCCCCCCCCAAGGGTATGTCACGTGAAAATTGGGCGCAAGCAGTCGAACATTTTCAAACGCCCAAATTTTAAAAGCGTTCGGTGTCAAACAAAGAAGTCCGTGCAAAACAACAAGTTGTAAACAGAGGGGGATCGTGCTCGTATAGCAATTTCTGTTTCAAAGAAGTAAGTTATGTTATATTTAACTGTTTATTTAAAGTATAATTAATCTAATCTTTAATGTTAAATATGACATCACTCTAATCGAAGCATTTTGTAAGGCCAATACCAATCGCCAAGGGGTATTAATAGTCTTGAAGTTGAGCAACAATACGTATGTGGTTAATTTGTAATTTCATATAAGTGTTTATATCGTGAAGGAGTATTTAGTAATTTAATTTTTATGATGTTTATCATTTTTTGAAAATACAGCTGACTTTACTCCAAGAGATCAACCAACAAACCCAAGCTTCTTCTGAAGCAAGCATCCTAACACCAAGTGATATAAAAAATTGTTTTGAAAGAATATTAGGTGTTCGACGCGGCCATATTAGGGGCAATGGGTGTAAACCTTCTACGGTTGTGTCTATGTACGACCAGGAACAACCGATCACACAACCACCACTACAATGATAGGTAATTGTTAGTTTAAGTTGAAAAGTATAATGCTATAATGGAAAAACGAAAAAACTATGATGCTATAATGATATTTTGGTAATTTTTGGTGTAGTATATATTACAATAATGGAAAGTACAATGCTATAATGATATGTTGGTTATGGTTTGATATGTTGGTATTTTGTATTTTGGTAATTTTTGGAAAGTACAATGCTATAATGTATCTGCAATATTGTGTATCATGTAGTTTGGTTATAGTTTGATATGTTGGTATTTTGTAGTTTGATAATTTTTTGGAAAGTACAATGCTATAATGGAAAATGAAAAAAGTACAATGCTATAATGTATATGGAATATTGTATGATGTATGTTTAGGTGTATTTAGAAAGTAGAATGCTATAATGATATGTTGGTATTTTGTATTTTGGTAATTTTTGGAAAGTACAATGTTATAATGGAAAAATGAAAAAAGTACAATGTTATAATGTATATGCAATACTGTGTATCGTGTAGTTTGGTTATAGTTTGTTATGTTGGTATTTTGTAGTTTGGTAATTTTTTGGGAAGTATAATGCTATAATGGAAAAATGAAAAAAAAAATACAATGCTATAATGTATATATTGTGTATGATGTATGTTTAAGTGTATATAGAAAGTAGACGACATGGTTGTTATAGTTTGATATGTTGATATTTTGTAGTTTTGTAACTTTTGGGAGGTAAGATGCTATTATGATATGTTTGTAATATATTTTGTTTTCATTGTAGTTGGAAATGTTGCAAACAATACTAAAGGACCCGACCTGTTCTGCGACACTAGAAGAATGGTTTCGCTCATTTCCGCCACGAAATGAAAACGAAGGAAACGAGGGGAGTGATGAGGACAGGGGCGGAACACAAGACTTAAAACTAGGGGGGCCGAACGTTATCTATTTTTTTGTTTACAAGCCATGAGGAGTTTTATATTAAGAAATACTTTTATATATAAAAATTACTTTAAAATAATTAAAAAAACTATGATGTATTTAAATATCACCATAATTGACGTGTATTATGAAAATAAAAACTAATAACATTAAAATTAACATAAAATAATATAAGATACCAAAATAATTTAGATAAAACAATTAGGTTAAAAGCATACAACACACACTTCACCAATTTAGGAGGTGGACGGCGGAGAAAACTAAAAAAGTGGACAAGAACATAATCCAGGCGGTGGCAGGCCGAGAGAAAGAGAAATAACCGTAATGAGTAAAGTGAGGTCTAAAGAAATATAACCATTACGGTTGACAATAGATCGACGGGTAATGGAACGGCGATGAGTGGAGAGCCAGCGTAGTTCTCCGGTGTCCGATGCTTCTTCAATCTTCTCAATATCTCCTATTTTACGATTTTATCGATTCGATTTCACGTTTTACTCCGGTGTGGTAGTGAAATTTATATCTAAACTTTTTTATTTCTGTTGTATAATTTCTACTATTTCATGACGCACCTTCTTTATTTTTGGAATTTCGACTGCTATATTCTAGGATTGAACGAATCCATCGGATTCGTTTGCCATTTTTTACCCCATGAATTTCTTGGGCTAAAATTACACCTATATATATATATATATATATATATATATATATATATTTAAATACATTATTTATTTAGATGAAACGAGTACTTTGCCATTTTAATCGATCGATTGATAGAGCTAATTCTAGAAAAATTTGCTGCATAGTGATAAGTTATGGTTACTAGGCTCAAAAGCAGGGGGGCCATGGCCTCCATGGCCCCTTAAGCCCTCCGCCACTGGATGAGGACGAGTAGCTATATTTTTAGGATTTATGTAATGTTTTGTTTGAGTTAGTATTTTAGATATATTGCATTTTGTTTGGATGAATACTTCGGACCGGATGTCTATGGATTAATATTTTGTATTAGATATAATATTAAGTGTGGTTAATTTTTCGTAGCAGTTTTTATGCATGTTATATTGTTTTTATAATTGAAATGTTAAATTAAAAAGGGAAAATAATTTAGCGGCGACATGTAAGTATTAGTGGCGACATAACATTAACGGTGATTGTAGGCATTAGTGGCGACAACACATTTGCGACGACAGAGGGCATTGACGACGACCTATTGAACATTTACAACGAGGCAAAAACGATGACCTTTTTGTGGCCATAGATCGCCGCTAATAGCTTTAGCGGCGACATGCATACTCTTCCGCGGCGACGCCCGTCGCCGCAAATGATCATGTCTCTTGTAGTGGTAGCTTTCCCTATAATCATATGGATACCTTTCACACCTACAATGAAAATGAAGAAAGAGATGGGATTACTTGTCTAAGCTTTCGTTTAATAGGGAAATTAAAAGTAGGACTATCGACCCCTTTCCAAAATTTGTGGTTTCGACCCCAATGCCTCGGGTATCATGCAATCCGATTTGGGATAATCCAAGAACAAATCGATTTGGAATACATGCCTATTTCAATTATTAAAACACCAAAATACTTCTAGCTGATTGTGTTTTTCTCAGTTATGCATATAGAAGAAGAAGTAGTAGTTTTCATTCGTATATATAGTTCCGCAACGTCAATCTTCCAATTTTATATGAGGAAGATAATGGTTATGTAGGGAAACACAACGCCTATTTTAAATGAACACAAACCATGGGTTTTTGACAGGAAGATGATGGTAATGTAGGGGCTTTGCCCCTACACCCCGCTAGGGGCGCTGCTCCCAAACTCTATATTCCCGAGTCGTGTATAGATATCTAAGTATTCACTCCGGACCACATGTCTTAGAAATTAACCAAAAAGTACTTGACTAATCTTGATTGAAAATCCTCACTACACTAAAATATTGATGACATTAAAATCACCGATGTATATGAATAAATAACTCTATATCAATGTTCTACATTTGAATGGTTTGAAATGCATTGATTTATATTTTGAGTAGTAATATATACATTTGATTAGTATATCAAGGATAGCCTAGAATTTTATAGATAACTTGATTATTAAAGATATATAATAAAAAAGAGTATTATGTGATTTCTGATTGAGATGGATAAATACTGCGAACATTGATATAGTCCCCATTTTAAACACTAATATGTGCATCCACATGGGAGTTCAATGAAGGTTGAATAGAATATACTTAAATATAATATTGAAGAGAGAGAAGGTGGAGTTGCATGCACATTGAATGCATCATATGATTTATAATGTAAAATTAAGAAATTATGAGTTGCCTCTCTTAGTTGGCACTCCATTCAACTCTTGGAGAGTTGAATGGATAGTGGATACCCTATTGACCATAACTCCATATTTTTGGTCAAAGGGAGAATTTTTGGATAACATTCCCAAACCAACGGATTTCCACATTGCTTTGAGAAGAAGATTTGCTTGCTCGAAAAAAAGCCCAAGACTTCTAGTAATACATAAACTAAGGACAACCTAGCATTTTTTTGGTCAAATGGACAATTTTTGGATAACATAACCCATTTCCACAATGCTCTATGGAGAAGGAGATCTGCTTAAAAATCAAATAAAATCTAGAAAATGAGTAGTTATATATCTCGAGAACAGACACTATATATTTTATATATTTAACAAATAGTGTTTTCTTTTTTTATCTAACGGGAACAAAGTTTTTGTGGAAAGTGGGTTAAATTTAAGCTAGTAAATATTGGATTAGTAAATTATAAGAAAAACAACAAAGAAAAAAACAAAGAATTACGTGCCTCTAGAATAATTTTGATTGGAAAATATAGTATTATTTTAATTTTAATATAGCAATTATGTAGTGTATGTAAGAGACAAGTTATTTAGCAGTGGTGCACAAGCGTTGAGGGTCCAAAGAAACTGCAACCTATCATGTCTTGTGAAATATCTGTATGGCAAGAACGAATATCAAAGGGTTGTGGAGCAGAGAAATGCCACCTGGACGAAGTCAAAATTAGAATATGTGTAGCCAATCAAAATGGGAGTAAAGATCGAAGAAGATATACAAGAGTTAGCCATGTAACCATAATCGTCATTATAAAGTAGATGGCCAAACTCACCCATTTTCATAACTCAAACAAAGATTCCTACTGTAAAACACACTCTAATCAATGGCTGCCTCCACCATGGCTCTCTCTTCTCCTTTTGCCGGACAGGCAGTGAAAGTAGCTCCATCTGGTTCTGAGCTTTTTGGGAATGGACGTGTTTCTATGAGGAAGGCTACAGTCAAGCAGGTTGCATCTGGAAGCCCATGGTATGGCCCAGACCGTGTCAAGTACTTGGGTCCATTCTCCGGTGAGTCCCCAAGCTACCTTACAGGCGAATTCCCCGGCGACTATGGCTGGGACACTGCCGGACTTTCTGCCGATCCAGAAACCTTTGCCAAGAACCGTGAACTTGAAGTGATCCATTGCAGGTGGGCCATGCTTGGAGCTCTAGGATGTGTCTTCCCTGAGCTTTTAGCCAGAAATGGTGTCAACTTCGGTGAGGCTGTCTGGTTCAAGGCTGGATCTCAAATCTTCAGTGAGGGTGGGCTTGACTACTTGGGCAACCCTAGTTTGGTTCATGCCCAGAGTATCTTGGCGATTTGGGCTACCCAAGTGATCTTGATGGGTGCTGTTGAGGGTTACAGAATTGGTGGTGGACCCCTCGGTGAGGTTGTTGACCCACTTTACCCTGGTGGAAGCTTCGACCCGTTGGGGCTTGCTGATGATCCAGAGGCTTTTGCGGAGCTGAAGGTGAAAGAAATAAAGAATGGTCGGCTAGCCATGTTTTCCATGTTTGGGTTCTTTGTTCAAGCCATTGTTACCGGAAAGGGACCATTGGAGAACTTGGCTGACCATCTTGCTGACCCGGTTGCCAACAATGCTTGGTCATATGCTACAAACTTTGTCCCCGGAAAGTGAGCTTAGTTTTCTTTAAAAGTGTTTTGTAGATGAAGTCTATGACAATTTCTTTGTAAATTAATATCATATATTATATGGTTATGTTTTGGGTTGCATTTTACAATTTTACATACCTTTCTCTTTACTTAGTTTTTTGCTACACATATTTTTACGAGTTATCATGTATAATCTATTACTAGCAATTGTGAAAGCACCCAAAGCAATTTTAATATTTTAATTCTAGTTTTAAGTAAGATATAGAAATAACAAGTGTTGTTCTTTTAGAAAAAAATAAATAACTAAAGGTAGAAGGCTTTGCCTCTTTCATTAGAAGGTATAGGTTTGATTCACCGTCTTGTTGCGGAACAAACTGAAGTAATTTGCTTGAAGTTTTGGGGTATGTACTGTATCGTCTTTTGTATCTGGCATAGAATATAGTACCTGGTTAAACCTAAAATATTTTCTTTTATATATTGAATGTTAAATATAATATTTTTAACATAACATACATTATTAAAGATCTTCTTTGTGTTGGAAAAAACTGGTTAATGAGAAATCAATCACCAAAGTTGAGGGTTCAATGATATATAATCAAAAATTGATTTTTAATTTTTCGTTAAAACATGTAATTAAAAAAGATATTAAATATTATGTCGGTTACGATCTTTTTATTAATTATTGGTTATTCATTATGTTTTAATGTCAATTTAATTGTCGGTTATGATTTTGTTGCATACATACATCTCTACCGCCATTTGGAAAGACCAGATAACGAAGATCGACCCCTCTTCTTCTCCTCTGCTGTGTTTTCTTTTTACTGCTTAAAAGGTAAAATTCCGGCCTAATATAGGTTTGGGTGGTCTCGAAGAAACACTTCAAGCTATTGTATGTTGAAAAAGAAACATGCAATAGCCAGGGACGGAACCATAAATTTTCGTCATAGGTATGACAATTTTTTTTCCGATAAAACTTAATAAGATACAAACATGGTTAAAATGGTGTTCTAACAAAATAAATTGTTTGCTAGTAGAAGGCAAAAATTCCAACGGTTAGAAGTCCACTTAACTACAACTCAGAAGAAATGAAAGAAATGAAACAATGAGGAATTTATATCCATCCAAAATAGATTCGGTATATGAAACATGTGACAAATGATCACTTATATAAAAGGCAATCAGTTCTACATATTAAATCAATAAATCTAGTAAGAAGTAGGTTCCTAAATCACATTCACATGTACAATCCTTTTATATATAAGCTAAGTATAGGATCACAATTAGACTCATTTAATATCTAAAAGAAAAATCAACCTCGTAGAGAATAACATCGACCCTCCAATGGACGCCGATGTTCCAAATCAGTGTTCCAAATCAACATCGGTGTTCCAAATTGACGACATCAGCACTCCCATTCGACATCCCCATCTCCCTGGTGAAACTTTTTCATTGAGATATTTTATCGAACACTTGGTGATCATACAAAAATAAAGAGTAAGTGTGTACCTTACTTCTCAGCCGACACATTCGGAATTGACACAGTCTCAATTGCTGGTTCGGACATAACATCAACATCATCCAAAAAAATTTACAGTTCTTGAATAAATCAGAGGGGTAGCATGTGCTACTCCTTGCTCTATGTTGGTCCTCCGTTTTTATAGAGGCAAATTTGTTATATGGGTATTGTGTTAAACACATGCCTCAACATTTTTTTTCTCGTTTGATTTCGTACATTTTTATAATATAATTCCTACATTTTTAAAACAAATTCGTTTGTACAAAACGAAACGAGAAAAAAATGTTTTCTGTCCTTCACTATTCTTTGATTTTCACCACAATTCTTTTTGGTCGTGTTCAATTTTCACAGAAAATAAAAGAAAACTTTTTTATGAATATGAACTTTAGAATCTGCTTATCAAAATCAGATTTCAGGATTAGTTTTTTTATTAGAATGTCCGATTTCAAAAGTTTTGCATAAGTTTTTCTACATCAGTTTTGATAAACAAATGTAACATTCGTATTTCGATAAGTTTCCCTTTTGGTCTCCTAGCTAGTACGCGGGGAGTACTCTAGAGGTACGCTTGGCGTACTAGCCCACTTCCGGATAGCGAGACTCATCCACGTACGCAGGGCGTACGCAAGGCAGGGACAAACCCTAATTTTTAGGGTTTGTGCCATATTTAATCAACTTATCTCACTCTTAGACACTCTATTGACCAGCCTCCACCTTACTTTACCCTGGAAAAAAACCCTAAGTGCATTTGGTGAGATTTTAGCTTCAAAGAGAGTTTGTTGGTGTTTTGAGGTGAAGAAGAAGAAGAAGAACACTTAGAGGAATAGCTTGAGCTTGTAGATCCAGAGTTACCTTCACATTTGTAAGCTTTTGGAGGTAAAAATCTCACGCCTTGTTGGTAATTTGTGCTAGATCTATTATGTGGTGTTATTTGTGCATTTTTTAATCTTTTGAGTTTAAATTGAGTTTTTGAACTACTCCAGAGGCCATGGATGTTAGATCTTAGCGTCGATGAGGTCCATAGTTCATAAAAATGCGAACTTTATGGAGGATATTGGTCCATGCAAGTATTAAGACCTTTATTAAGTTCTTTTTGAGTCTTATGTCCCATTAAGCCATGCATGGTTGTAAAGTTGCCAACTTTACATGAAAAGTCACCCTTTAGAATCAGATATGAGAGTTTGACATGTTGTCTTGACCGATTAAGTGCTTAATGGTGTGGTTTGGCAATCTGGGGAGTACATTGGGGGTACCCAGCAGGTACGTTGCGCGTACCGGCCCAAGAGATAGTACGCTAAGCGTACGAGCTGAGTACGCCCCGTGTACTCAGAATATGGACGTTTGGGCTTGGAGATTCTTGGTATTGGGACATGCTTTGGACTTTGAAGATTGGGCCTTGTTGGGCCATTAGACATTTGACTTTGGGCTTTTGATGGTATTTTGAGCTCCTTTAGATTTAGACCCATGATGGGTCATAGGCCCACTTTGGAAGATTGGGCCATATTGGGCTTCGGGGTTGCCATTAAGGATTCGGGGCTTTCAAGTAGTTAGGTTGGGTCTTAGTTTTGGGCTATGTAAGAAAAAGGGTAAAATGGTCTTTTACCCCGATTGTGGGTTAAGTAGCTTAGATTCTTGGTTATGGGTCAAGGTCAAATCATTAAATTAGATATTATTTTGATGATGATAGCGCGGAGATTTTTCGGACCAGCAACCAGTATTCATTTGAGTGTTTCAGCAGCTAGTGGTGAGTTTCCTCACTATGTTTAGCGGGTCGAAGGCACTAATGTCGGCCCATAGTTTGATATGTTTGGATGCTAGTTGTCTGCGTGACTCTTGCATGTGTTATGTGTTTATATGTTTACCGGGCAGGGCCCGATGTCGGGCGGGGCCCGATGACTATCATGTATGCTATTATCTTTTTGATTATTTCATGTGTTTGTATGATTATGTGTTTACATATTTATATGTATACCGGGCGGGGCCTGATGACTGACAGATCTATATACCGAGTGGGGCTCGATGTCGGGCGGGGCCCACTATATGTTTGATATGTATGGTATGTGGTATTTTAGGGAACTCACTAAGCTTTGTGCTTACGGTTTTTAGTTTATGTTTTCAGCTACTTCTGGTTAGAAGGGGAAAAACTCGGGATAATTGCAGTGCACACACCACCTCGTTCCACATTTTATGTTACTCTGATGTTTGTGATGTTGTTGATACACTTTGTTTCACCAGAATTTGTATGTTGATGTTTTGGATATTAGTTTTATTAATTTAAAACAAAATTTTTAGTCTTAATTTTTGGGACGTTACAACAAAGTAACATATTTGCATCAAAGTTGTGTATCAATTTTTACATCTGTTTTGTATTAGAATCTGTGTATCATTTTCTACATCAGAATTTAATATCATAGTTGTGAAATCAAATTTGCTTTAGAATATAACATCGGTTTCTAAAATCAAGATTTAAGCATCAGTTTTGCTTTAGAATTTAAAATTAGTTTCATTTTCAGATTTTTTCCCATTAATTTTCTACATAAAAAATTAGAATATAATTTTGATTTGGCCATTAATTGACCAGGTTTGTAGGAGAATAATGTGGCCTAGTTGCCACTTAGATAGGAGCACATGCTTTGCCGAATTCTAGCTTTGTTTGTTATTTATTTAGCTTTAAATTGCAATAGATGCATTTCCTTTAAACATAGCAATGAAGAGAAAATATGTTGATCCATGATCAATAACAAGTTGTTTACCAACACTTGTTATGATGGATTCATATTTAATTCCAAAATCCATATAAGTTTTGTCATTTAACATTTTAAAAGTTTCACATGTGATATCATTAAGGTTTAAGTAAAGTTTGGTGTAACACCCTGTTTCGAATCGTTTCATAATTCGGGGCCGTGAATCGAATATTAGTTATCATAAGGCTTCAGGCCTTGGGAGAAAGTGAGATTTAGACCCCTTTGGATGTGGGTAATGTAGACTAGTTGATCTGAGACTTCGGTTGGTGCTTTGGAGCCTAAGGGTATAACCGTAAAGTGATAGTTCTGGCCTTTTATGAATTTTGGATTTAAGTTCGAAAAAAATTGAAGGCAAAGGAGAGTTGATAGGGTTGTAGATCTTCTCATTACCTTTCCGTGGACATAAGGATCTTCGAAATCGGAGTTGAAACAAAGAAGTTACGACGGTTTGAAGTTAGGACAATTTTTGGGTTAGCCGCGTATGCGAGGCTTAAGGGGAGTACGTTGGGCGTACTAGGGAATCCCTAGTATACTGGGCGTGAATTGAGTATGTTGGGCATACGCGATCAGTACCTAAACCCTATTTTTGTGGTTTGAGCCCTATTTAAACTCCTTAACTTCCCCAAACTCATTCTATTCTCAGCCTTCACCTCTCCAATACCCTCCCTTGAAACCCTAACCCTAGTTTGAGCCTTGTGAGCAAAAAGAAGGTGTTTTAAGTTCTTTGGAGTGTTCTTGGTGCACCTTCGAGAAGAAGAAACTCATTGA